TTTTTTTTTTTTTTTTTTTTGTGTTTTTGATTGGAAACAAGAATACTCTGCAAAGTTTGTAAAGAGATGAATAATTAGTGAATCAATTTTAGAGCAAAAAACATTTTTTGTCATAAATTTAAAAAAATAAAAAATTCCAATACTTTTATTGATTTTTATTGATGTGAAATGATTGCAATCGTTTTTGAATAACAACTAACCTTTACAAAGTTTCAATATTCCCTCGTCTTTCACCATTTCAGATTTATTATCTGATTGTTAGAATCTGTTTCAGTCGTTATTTTGCATTACTATTCGACTCTTTTCATTTGAAAAATTTTTGCAAAATATTGCAAATTTTTGAAAAAATTTATGCAAAGTTTCATTTTTTTAATAGTTGATCGATTAGATTGCTACTACAAGTATGCTAATTTTTGTGAATATTTTTTATGCAAATTTTGTCAGCTATTAGTTAATCACTTTCGAACGTTGAATAATTGTTTTTTTGAATAATTTTTTGATTAAAATAATTGTTTATTTTTTGTTGCGCATTGTGCTATCATTGAAGTATAGAATTGCAATATTTGCATAATTTCAGAACAAAAGCTAAAGACCTTAAAGTTTGTCTCTTAATTTTGATATTTTATTGTTTTATTTTGGAAATATTTTCTTGCACAAATTTCAATTACTTTCTCTTTAATAACATTGGAAAGATATTGCTAATTCAATGGCTAAGTCAGAGTTATGCGATATATCAGAGATTCGACCTTACCTTTATCTTAGTGGTTTTGGTTGCATTACAGAAAAAGTAAGTTTATGTTTTTCTAAAACTTCAAATTATTACTGATACAAATGAAAGTATCGTAGTTATATTGTTGTTAGGGAATAAAAATTAAGTTTATACAATAAGACTTATGATGATTAATCTTTAGCCATAAGTGCCAAAGTTTGATCTCTGAAAATATAATTAATTTCAGAAAATATAATTAATTTTAGTTGTCTCTGAAAATATAATTAATTTCATATTTTAGTTGTTGCAAAAATACGTAATATTTGAAATTTAGTGGTAGCAAAAAGTTTATTAACAAAATTCTTTTTCCAAAACACGTTTGTTGGCTAAAATTACGCCAATTAATAAAATTGACGGTAATTTTTTACCAATTTTTTTAAAATAACACGTTTAATTTAAAAACCTGTAATCACTAGTAAATTTAAAGTGAACTTTATTTCAAATTTAAATCGTGTTTGGATTTATATTAATTCGTTTTGATATATATTTCAATCAAATAGGTATGATTAGAAATAGTCTTTAAATTTATGCATTATTTTAAGCGTTGACTACTTCTCAAGAACGTCAGCTATAGCCATAAATTTAGAAATACGTCAGATTGCGTAGATTCCCGCAAATTATGATAATTGAGCCTTGACATTACTTGATCTATTTGAGTTATACTAAAACTAGAAATGAGCACTTTAATTTAATATACATTTGGAATCTCTTGTCACTCCTTTGCATATGAAATGTCACGTCACTCCTTTGCGCATGGAATATTACGTGACTACTTTTTTACCTTCAGCCAGGGTTCTTGATGTGTTTTCAAACATTTTAAACTTAATCCAAGCAGGGAAATATTTTAAGTTGCCAACAATTGTACAGTATTCTCAATACTAAAACAAATGGTTATTTAGGATAAATTTTACAACATTTTTGCTAAATAAAAATATAATACAAAAAGTTTAACATTTATATTTTCTGCAAATTTATGAATGAAAATATTCCATTATATTTTGAAATTTAAATAAAGCTGTTTTAAATTTATCAGTGGGTGTAAGACCAGTAATCACTGATAATGATTCTATGAATAACGGAAGTAATTTTAATGAAGTGTGAGTTTTATTGAATGTATACAAGCGAGACGTGATATCTCATCCTAGATTATTTTTAATATGAATCCAAATATTCTCAATTCCTGAAATTAAATTTTGGTTACACACACGTATACTTGCTAAATAAAGTGAAATTGATTTGAGATGATTATTTTCAACAAAAAATGGTGTGGTAATGATCACAGTACATATTTTTTTTAATGTCAATAAATTTGAACAGTTTGTTAATTTATTAAGGGATTTGATAAAAGTATTTAATTAGTGCTTATTTATGAGCGAACTTTTCCCTTCTTTATTAATGAATTTATGCAATTAATTTGACTTTGCTATTATGTTGTGTCAATCTTTAACATAAATTAATGACAGTTTTCGCGCTCAAATTTAAAGTTTTTTCGAAGAAAGTAAAAATTAAGATGAGGAACTCTGACATATAAGAAAATAATTGTGAAGTTAATTTAATTTGGTTTCGGTGCAAAAAGTTGTTCAAATAAAGTAAGAAAATTATGTTTGCTCTCAATTTTGTTCTTAATTGAATAAAATACTTTGTATCCAATCGAATTTTTTTTCAGAAACTACGAAATTTGGGAATTACATGCATAATTGATGCAACTAATCTTCCGAACAATCCTCGTTATGATGGAATTGAATTTCTGGATATCCGAGTGGATGACTCCTTAATTGCTGATCTTTTTCCATATTTTACCATCGCTGCACAATTTGTTCAAAATGCTCAAAAAAGGGTACGTGTTAAAAAACATATGTTTTAAACGTTTTTCAGCATTTTCATTATAATTTTTGACAATATAAAATTGCAGTAATTTGTTTGTAAGTAAATACTTTTTACTACTACTTTTAGCTTTGTGTTTTTCGAGATTTAAAAATGTTATTTAAAAATTTCGGAATTATTACAAAGTACAGTTT